CGTCGAAAGTAGGTTGAATCGGTACATTTGAGCCTGTACACTGGACAACATATTTTCTAAACCCATCAGTGGACCTTGAAACTATGTTGGGAGACTTGGTAAAATTTCGACTCGGGAATTTTCATTTTCCCATGGTGGTCTATCTGGTGTATAAAAATACTTCATTATTTCAGGAGCCCCATCATCCTCTTCAATAACTTTTTGATGGAGTTTCCAACCTTGATCAGGTCTATTACTAAAATAATGATACACAAGGTTTGCGTCATGATGCGCATAGGGTGGCACGTTGCGCAAAAATTCACATTCGTCTGGACTCAAGTAATCCATAATGACAAATGATGCTCTCCAACGAACTGGTATAAACGTTGCAAGAATGTTCTAGAATGACGACGAGATATAATGCAACTTACTATCCAATCTCTCACTAACCAATCTTCCACATGTAAACAGTTCTCGGAATTGGTGACATACAATTATGAGTATGACACATAATGAGGTAATTCGATCCTTTAAGAAAATCGAGAGATTTTCTTGACAGCATTCAGTCGTGCGCTCAATAGTGTAGTGTAAAGATGGAAGCAATCTTGAACGTTCAAGGATTTCAAGTTGACCAAAAAACATTCATCATCAAAGACTTGGCAGCAGCGTTCATCAATGACCTTCAACCGATTGAATGTATTCTCTTCAAACCACCCTATTCATGGAATAAATTATTAGCTAAATCCAAACGTTCTAACACATGGCTTATCTCCAACTTCCATGGCTTATCCTGGAGAGCTGGCAATACACCGGACTCCGAGCTTCTGTAAGTTGTCTAGGAAATCACGAAAAGACGCAATTAACTTCTACGTGAAACGATTACACAAAATCGAGTGGCTTCAAGGAATTCTCGGAAGTTCTCCATCGGTGAACGATTTGGAAGATTTGAATGATCCGAGATTATTGGACCTCGACCTTCCGAAATGTTTAAATCCCCATAATGACTGCGATCCGATTCCATTCGTTTGTGCACTAGAGAACGTAAAAAAATTGAGAATTTGATACATAACGAGTCACGGAGTCACTGTATCCTAAAAAGTCTCACAGGAATGAACAGCGGTGACATTTCCATCTTGCCCAAAAAAATTCAGTTGGCATTTGCCTCGCAGACCATTCAGGATGTTGGGGATGAGCTACCTGAAAGCTTGCAAAAGGATGAAGATATTGCAAACTACCGTAGGTGTCACCTTCATTATTCTTTTAACCCACTAATGATGAAAAACTGTTCTGGGTGTAAATTCTTTAAGGATCCAAAATTAATTAGAAAAAAAAGGAAAGATATTTACACCATTCATCTATCATCGCTCATTTACAGGGTGTCCCATTTGAAACAATGCACCCAAATATCTTCTAAGGGGGGCAGTGACAGGAAATTTTCTGGGACATAAGTTGTAGAGTTCCGAGGAGGACATTTGATGCATGCATTTTTTTGAGCTTTCACGATCATACTTGCAAGCTGTAAGCACAAGCAGCTTTTTCTTAAATGGCAATCGCATTTTTTACCCTAATGAAACTTGTTTTTCTTAATAAGTAGTTTTCAAATACCTTATCATTTATGTGAACTCCTTCGATTTTAGTCGGAGAATGCACCCTTGACGCGTCTTGGCGTAGATAATTGTTCTGCTAATCCATTTACCAACCGTAGTTATGGAATGTAAACAATAACAAAGAATTCCCCATTACCTCGAGGATTCAGCTATTCGAAACAGTTTCAATTCAACCAGAATCGAGTTAGTATCCCCTGTAATTTCATTGAACACATCACGATGTATTCAGCGAGTGAAATTGTCGATATTTTACTCGTATTAGGAGAGTGCCGCGGAGTCTATCGAGCCGCTGCCCAGACATATCCAGAATGGTACCCTAACCGCCGACGTCATCCCACAGATGCAGTAATTCGGAACATTGAAAGGAATTGTAGGAGAGGACGAACTTTTCGATGACAACAACCACAACAACAAAGTATTAATCCTGATGATCCACGAGCTGTTGCCATTCTCGCTATGATTCACATGAATCCACGCTAAAATCACATGATTCACGCTAAAAAAGTCTGAATCTTTAGTTTGATAACAGAACTCATTTTCGTCGCATTCTCCGAGTAAAATTAAAGGAGTTCACATGAATGATGAGGTATTTGAAAACAACTCATCAAGAAGAACAAGTTTCATTGGGGTCAAAAAGCGATTGCCATTTTAAAAAAAGCTCCTTATGCTTGCAGCTTGCAAGTATGATCCTGAAAGCTCAAAAAAATGCATGCATCAAATGTTCTCCTCGAAACCCTACAACTTATGTCCCAGAAAATTTCCTGTCACTTGCCCCCCTTAGAAGATATTTGGGTGCATTGATTTCAAATGGGACACCCTGTATAAAAAAAATCATATGACAGACTTGATAAATGTTATCAAAAGACTAAGACTAAGACTAAGAAAAGACTAAGGTTTAGAGCAGTGAAATTCAACAGCGATATTCAGGAAAAATTTTCAGGAATGGAAATCTCTAGGGAGCAGTGAGCCATATCACAGAGAAGCTACTTTCTGAAGGAACAAATATAAGAATGAAAAATATATTGTAAATTATATCTGAAGAATGTAGAATATTAATTTTCAAAAATGTCGTTTTTCAATAAACCGATCAGAAAAGAAAAAATGTGAAGTATTGTTCTTATTAAAATACCCTTCCTATTTAATCGATAGAGTTTAGAAAACTCTCTAATATAAGCATCAGAAATCAGAACTCAGAAATCAGAAATCAGAAATTGAAAAGTAACACTGAAACATCAGAATGCAGCGATCAAAACCCCCAAGCAGAATTGGATGGGTTTGAATAAATCATTCAACTGTTTTTTAATTATTTTTACAATTTAAAATTTGCGTCAAGCCTGCGTTGCGTTCATTGTAGAATCTCCTTAACTTATATGATGGCATCCCTCGCCTTCGGTTCGGGTTGCAAATTCATTCGCCAGAAAAGTTTCTTCCGGCTTAGTGATGAAGTGTACTATTTCGCCATAAAAAAACATCACTTTATGGTTATAGCATGAAAACATGATCAATGGGGGCTGGAATTCACCCGCACTCAATTTCCTTGGTAAACCTTTCAACTTTCATCCGCACTACTTAGCTGCTCATTTCGTCTTCAAAGAGTTATTCAACCGTGCTATTTCAAATGGAACCGTCTGCAAATGGACTTCATGTATTATATTCATATTCAATATTTGAATAAAAAGTCACAAAATTCACTCTCGTTTTGGACTTGAATTGAATTCTGTAAAAAAATCATCGATTTGACAGCATCACTGTGAAGAACGAAAACGAAGTTTTCAAGACCTAGAAAATTAGAGAAAGTTGATTTATATGAAGTATTTTCAATAGACTCATGAATGCTTTACTATGTCTCAGCTTTCCCAAAACTCTCCAAATTCTGAGGGTAAAATTTTGCAGCGGTCATCTGCATTGGTTTCATGCTACGCATTAACATGATGGATATCAGTCTTTGCGCCTTCAGATGCAAAATTGCACTAACGAGAAGAAAAAATCGTAATTTCATTCAATTTTCCCAATTCATTAGTACGTACATTCCTTCCGATACTTGACTGCTATGATCAGATAATTCTTGACCTGGTAAACTTATGAATAACAAGTGGAGAATCACGCCACCTGCAAATGTAGCGTATCTAATCACTTCGACAGGCTCATCCATTTTAATAATTATCTGAAATTATTTCAGGGTGTATAATGTTGCAGGTTAGAGTTCTCATAGCAGCCTAACATGACTACATACTTCAAGTCCTGTAATACTGATTAGTATCATGGCCAGCAAAACTACGATCCCATTCATTATTGTAAATGATGTTTCAATGGACTCCGCCAATCTGTTGAATGATAATGGCTGAATAGAATGGCTTTGACAGGTCGATTTATTCCAAATGTAAAATGTCACCATTGAAAGATGTTTTGGATAAGAAAAGGAGACAATATAAATGCATACGTTATGGCTCGATGATGTATTATTATGCCGTCACATAGGATTTTATATTTCCGCTCTGAAGGAAAATTTGCCTGGATCTGTCGTAACATCTCGCTACATATTGGAAACAAAACATGAGATAAATTTATGGAAAAGTGGTGTTCGTTCGAAAATATAGCTGAAGAAGATTCACCCAACAGCTTCAAAGAGTCCACAACAATGTAGGACTATGATTGAAATGAAAGTATCGATTGTTACTAAAAAATGTACCACGATCGTCACAGTAAACAACCCATGCATTGTGATCATAAAATGATGGTCATTCACATTGATGCCAAAGACAGAGTAATCGGTTTGCAAGACAAACATTTTTGGTCTTGATTCGTTCAGAGGAAAGATCATATCAAGGAATAGTGGCTTCAAAGGAAACAGACAAAAAATTACTACTGCAGAGTAGATGATAACTGAAATAGAAAGTGCACAAAAAAATTTTTCGTTTGAATGTCTGACATATGCAAATGTTCACATTAACAAATTTAAAACAGAGACTCAACCCAGGGACACTTCAACATGAGACATTTCAAGCGATGAAGCGATCTCAACTACTTCAGCCTAAGCTTATTTTTCACAATTCAGCAAATGTATGTTACTATTAGTATAGAACGGAGGAGTGTCTCGAGCATGGCGGAACTTTCTCCGGAAAAGAATAAGTAAAAATTGGAAAAAAATTTACAATCTGCCACATTCATAGAATTTCTCTAGTATTTAACTCCATTAGAATGTCGAACTACCAATTCCATGAAAAATATATATATATAATTTTCAGTGAAAAAAATCCGATGTCGACAATATCAGGGGAGTCTAAGCAAGGTATTTCTCATCTTATTTCCGTTCTGAAATCAGTTTCTCCAAGTTTCATGACACTGTTAGAAAAAGATTGAAATTTCATGGACAGTCGACCAGTAATTTTCAGGAGAGTGGCATTGAATTCGATTTAAGGGAGAGAAAATAATAAAATTGTGAATTTCATGGAAATTGAATGAAATTCCGAATTTTTTTACAGCGTTGAGATGAAAATTCCTCAACCCATTCGTTATTTTTCAGCCGTGAGAGTTGGTCATTAGATGATCGGTTAATGGATTTAGCGATTTTCCGCATGGTGGTATCTAAGGGGGATATGGCTTTGAGTTTCTTATTCTGAGTTCTTCGGATAAAAGATTTAATTCTTTCTTGGTTAAATTTGGTGACTTTATTAAGGAGAGGTTTGAGGTTGTCGTAACGGGTGAACTACCAGAATTTTCGGACTTCATTTTTTGTGACCGGATGGGGATTCGTGCAAGAGTAAATGTGCTGGTTAGTGATGAGTAGGTCAATGGTGCAAGGGGTAATACCGGTCCGGAGGTAATGGGTAGATGCAGCTGTAGCGAAGAGGTGGTATGGATTCGATTCAAAAAAATCAGTGCGCAGGAAGCCTGATTTATTGGAGCGGTTGAGGTACAGTTTGGATGTTCGGAGTAAAAATCCCCAAAATATATGTCCAGTTGGTTATTAAGGGAATTATATATGGAATAAATATGGATGCTTTTGTGGCGCGTGGAGATGGAAATGGCTGTGTATTCTGTGGAGAATCGGAAGTCGTGCAGGAGAGGGGAGTAATTAAAATAATTGTAGACGGCAATGGCGACGCCTCCGCCTGTGTGTTCTGAAACGTCTTCCCGGGTCAATTTCCATTTTTTGTCAATTTAAGGTTTGTTTTGAAGAACAAGACAATATAATTGTTCTGGCTATCCAATAATGATATAAGCTCGTATTTATGCAAGGTTAAACTACTTGTATTTAGGACTAACATGTTAGTGTCGTTATTGGAGGCCATTTTTCAAGACAGAATCTTTTTCAAAGAGATGAGAGTATTCGTGAATAATTTGTAAGGACTCTGTTGCATTCTGGAGGTTTTCAACTTGTTTGTCATATTGCGAAGTTGATCAAGAACTTTGAAAATGTCAAGTTCTTCAAATCAGGAAAAATTAATTCTGCCTCGAATATCATCATCTCTTATTTCATTATATTTATTCTATTTATTTCTTTACTGATTATCGTAGCTTGTGAATGCTGACTTTGATGACGTATGGGGTCAATGACCGGAGTAGCTGGTATCGTATGCGTCATTCCAGGATTTCAGAACACTATATCCCTTATCAAGATGCCAATTCTGAGTGGTGTTGGGGGGGGAGGGTAATATTTAGAATTCCCTGTATGATACATCTTTCCTACTCAGCTAGCCACAGTTGGCAATGTCCTAATGGAATATTTTAAAAGGTCGTAAAGTATACCTGCGTTCCTAACTGATTCATGACCCACTTGTGGCCCCTCATTGCTACCACCATCCCCTGTTCATCACATTTGAGAACCCATGGTCAGTAGATGACACTTGAATAAACTGGCAGAAGATTTTAAAAGGAAACGTTGGGGATACCGCAAAAAATCGAGTGTCTTATGTATATCTCAAAAATCATGAATGTAGTTTTTATGGAACAAAAGTCAAACAACAGAGGTAATTGAAGTATTAGGTGTGTGACTTAATTTTTACGNCGAGCTTAAAATTATATTTAAAATAGAAATATATTCGCGGTTTTTTCTGATTTTGAAAGGAAGGGACAAAAGGTTCCAGGACACGGAACGACAAGTCTATGTAAGTTACATAACCTTTCAGAATAGCAGTGTTTATGATGGCAACTGATAAACAGCACATTCGGGACTGCATTTTATACGAATTCCAACAAGGAAAAAATGCTTCTGAAGCACGGGGATCTATGTGCCTTCAATGTCGGTTCTTGGTGCCGACATTGTATCTTATGAAACGTGTAATTATTCGTACAAATGTTTTAGAAGTGGTGATTTCGATCTGAGTGACCAGCCGCGTCCTGGACAGCCTCGAAAGTTTACAGATGCGGAATTGCAAGCTCCACTGGATGAAGACTCAACGCAAACGCAACAAGAGCTTGCAGCGCAGTTGAGAGTCGCCCGAACAGCTATTTCTAAGCGTTTGCGTCAAATGGGAAAAATCCAAAAACTTGGAAGGTGGGTGGGTCCCACATGTGTTGACGGAACACAACCTAGGTCAACGTTTGAACACGTGCCTTTCACTGCTTGTCCGGCAATAAAAAAAGGACTTCTTTTACGAGAATCCCAAACGTGAAAAGTCGTGGGTAGACCCCGGACAATCCAGTACATCGACGCCGAAACAGAACATCCGCTTAAAGAAAATTCTCCGGTGTATCTGGTGGGACATGAGGGGGGTGCTTTATTACGAACTCCTGGAAACAGGTCAGACGGTGACTGCGGAATGCTACAACCGACAACTAAATAAACTGAGCGAAGAACTTGATCGGTAAAGGCCATTTACTGGGCAAGGAAGCAGGCAGTCATACTGCTGCATGACAATGCTCAACTTCACGTTGCTCCCGCGACTCAGAAGACCCTCTTAAACTTGGCATGGGAAGTTCTCCCGCACGCGGCCTATTCACCATACTTGGCCCCATCCGACTATCACTTGTTCCGGTCCATGCAGTACGCCTTAGTGGATACACAGTTTAAAACGATGGACGATGTGGGTAAATTCGTCGATGACTTTATCACCTCGAAGCCTGCAAGTTTCTTTCGCGACGGCATTCGAATGTTACCTGAGAGATGGCGCAAGGTCATAGAAAATGATGGACAATATTTCTACGATTAAGTTCGTTCTTCTCCATTTTTTTATATTAAATAAATTTACTGAAAAATCTGTAAACATTAAGTCACACACCTAATAATTACAAACAATGATGCGAAATTTTCCTGGTTTAGCTCAAGAGTTTGTCTGCTGCTACATGATAATGTTTCTAAGATCGCGAATTGCGCTGTATTCATGGTGGTAGCACATGAATTTTTCTCGAAAATGTTTCTCCGTGTATCAAGTCTATAGATAATTAAAATCCTACGGTTTATTCATTGAATTCAGATATTTAATATTCAAATTGAATCAAGATATTTCATATTTGAAATATTCGGGCCGTTGTTATTATTCGAATATTTGTTGAAGAGAACTGATTTGTTGAAGGGGAAACAGAAACTCCCTATAAAATCCACTATATAAATAATATACCCATATAAACTGTGGTTCGTAAGTAGCCCTTTTCAGCAAAAGTTCGAATAGTTTCAACAACTGATTCATCCACAAGGCACCAATCCTCTCTTACGGAATTGAGGATTATTTGAATCTGTTACAATGGACAAATGAAACGTATATAATGCATATAGGATGGTTTCATAGCCTTCGATGTTCATGAGTTCAATACGAACCTGTTCCTTCTTCTTTATAAAGAAGCAAAATTTTACAAATCCTATAACAACCAACATTTGATGTGAGATTCCAGTTGCCAAATCCTCTAGATTGTCACACACTTGAATGAAAAATGCCCACTGAAGAAATGATGACATTACTCAGCTATGTGAAAATTTCAAGTCTCAACAAACTTGGAAAGTACTATTATATTAGTACATCCTCTAAAATGTCTATTTACTATACCTGTGGTACCACTATCGTCAGCAACGACAGAACAACAAGACATTGTACAATAATTCTTGACCGTTTCGGAAATTCCGGCCATACTCCAAGTGTCATTAGAAGAATCTTATTTCGTTGGTAATATCCATCCAAAAAAATATCTATCTCACCCCCCCAGATGTTCCCATTTTTAAGTGGTGTTGCCACCATTGTACTTTCACAAAAGTCGTACAGCTTATACTACAGTCCGTGAGCAACGAATGCACTATTTCCGCAGTGATGTTCCCAACCTCATTCCTTATTCTGAAACGAATTAGGTATAATATTCGGTCGTCACTTCACCTTACCGCAGCGAAACTGTAATATCGCTAGATGCTATCGATCGGAGTTTTCAAAGTAGCAATTTGTCACTCCGAAATGAATTTCTACATGTTTTGTTGTTATATGCAATTTTCTTATTCTACTCAACTCCTTCCATGTACAGACCATCACTAGAAGAATAATAAAATTTCCCCAGTCGAATTTGATCGTTTATGGCTGCGATGTCCTACCACCTTTACAATAACTACCGGTCATTGCCCCATTAAGTCACTGCTTGCTTCGTTCTCTCCAAGATTCTTAATAATAGTCAATATTTCTATGAATTGCAACAAATAGGAAATTACGCGGGAGTGTTCTTCTTATCGAACCGTGAAAGGCATATATACAGTGGTTTCAACTCGGCACTTGGCTGAATACTTGGCACTTGGCTTCCACGTGCTCTGCTTGCTGCTTGAAGATGAGTCGAGCGTCGATCACAATTAGGTACCGAATGAACTGCTGGGAAGTGAGTTCCTAGTTCCCGACTTGCAGCGTTATTGGCTCGACTTGCATTCTGCTTCTGATAAATATGACCTCTGTTTTGTGCTCTGCCAGTTGCAGGCCTAGGGGGTCCATCCAGTGACAAATTGCTCTGAAGGTCATGTTGAAAACAAGTTTGATCTCCTCCAGATATTTTCCCATAATTAGTGTCTCCCGATACCCGAAAAAATATCGATACTCACTATCGTATCGAAGCAGATTGCTTGGTATCGATACCGTAAAGTATCGCCTTGGGAAATATCGATATTCGTAATATCGATCTTTTTAAAAATTCTGGATGACAATGGCAAATAAAAAAAATTAGAGTTGAAGAATGTCGCATTCAAAGACCTTAAACATTCAGATTCATTCACGTGAGGATATCCCAGTATTGTTTACATTTTGNTATCGATCTTTTTAAAAATTCTGGATGACAATGGCAAATAAAAAAAATTAGAGTTGAAGAATGTCGCATTCAAAGACCTTAAACATTCAGATTCATTCACGTGAGGATATCCCAGTATTGTTTACATTTTGGTATAGACCATTCTATAGATTCCGCCACTTTCAATCATCAAATTTGTCAATTAAATTGCGCGAGGAAAAATTGAGATAAGCTATGAATATTCAGTGTCATTCACATTACATTCTGTACAGAATTATTATTTTCTTCATTCGAGGGTGGAACGTCATGAGAGTCACTAGGGAATGATCAAATTTCACGAGGGTCAAACTCTACGAAAGCCACAAGAGAACGATCAAATTTCACGGAAGTGAACCGTCACGAGGGTCAAAAGGAGATGGTCAAATTTCACGAGGGTCAAACTCTACGAAAGCCACAAGAGAACGATCAAATTTCACGGAAGTGAACCGTCACGAGGGTCAAAAGGAGATGGTCAAATTTCACAGTAGTGAAACGTCACGAGGGCCATAAGGAGACGATTAAATTCCACCAGTCAACCGACACGAGGGTTACATGGGGATGGTCAAATTTGACGACGATCACAAGGGGATGGTCAAATTTCACGAAAGTGAAACGTTACGAGTCAAAAGGAGACCGTCAAATTTCATGAGAGTCAAACAGCCCGAGAGTCACATGGTGATGGTCAAACTTCACAAGTGTCAAACGTCACGAGGGTCTCACGCGGATAATCAAATTTCATGGAATGGAAACGGCACGAGGATCACAATGAGACGATCAAATTCCACGAGAGAGACGCGATACAAGGGTCACAAGAGGAAGTCAAATTTCACGAGGGTCAAACAGCAAGAGGGTCGCGAGGAGACGGTTAAATTTCATGAGAGTCAACCGAGACAAGAGTCTTACGGGGATGATCAAATTTCACGAGGGTCAAACGTCACGAGGGTCACAAGGGGTCAAATTTCACCGGAGTGAAACGCCACGAGATTGACTAGGGGTTGGTTAGATTTCACGAGTACCAAACCTCCCAAGGGTCACGAGGGGATCGGCACATGTTCAAGAGGATGAAACCTCACGAGAGTCACAAAGGAATAATGAAATGTCATGGCGTTTGAATGTTCCAATGGTCATTTTCCACGAGGGTCCAACGTCAAATTTCGCGAGGAGCAAAGGATCACAAGAGTCATAAAAAAATTTTGCGAAGAGCAAAGGATCACAATAGTCATAAGGAAATACGATGCTTTAACGATCTTTGAGAATCACATGGAACTATCTCCAACTCTTTGTAGGAAGGATAATGGTGTTCATTATTCAAGTTTATTGAATTTTTCACGGAATCATTCCGGGCCCTGGAAAGTTCAAAAATTGGCGATCCTCCTGTGACTTTCGTACTGTCTGACTCGTAAAATTTGATCGTCCCCTTGTGACCCTCCCAGTTTCACCCTTGTGAAAATTGACCGTCCCCTTGTGTCGGTTAACTGCCGTGACATTTGACCGTCCCCTTGTGACCCTCGTGAAATTTGACCATCCCCTTATGACCCTTGTGAAATTTGACCATCTCGTTGTGACCCTCGTGACATTTGACCCTTGTGAAATTTGACCATACCCTTCTGACCCTCGTGCTGTTTGACCCTAGTGAAATTTGATCGTCCCCTTGTCTCGCTCGTCACGTTTGATGTTTGTGAACCTTGTCTCCATGTGACCCTTGTAACTTTTGACCCTTGTGAAATTTGATCATCCCTTTGTGACCCCCGTGACCTTTGACTTTCATAAAATTTTGGCATTCTCTTATGACCCTGATGATATTTGACTCTCGTGAAATTTGATCGTCCCCTTGTCTTGCTCGTTACGTTTGACCCTTGTGAAACTTGATCATCACCTTGTGACTTTTGATCCGTGTGAAACTTGATCGTCTCACTGTGACCCTTGTGACTTTTGACCTTCGTGAAATTTGATCATCCCCTTGTGACTCTCATGACATTCGACTCTCAAGATGTTTGACCCTCTTGAAATCTGACCATCTCCTTGTGATCCTTTTGTCCCTTCTGATATTTTGCCCCTTATGAATCATCTTATTCTTGTGACCTCCCTGGTCTTTAAATTCGTTATGAATATTTTTCACATTAATTTTTTTTTCATTACTTGTCCCTGAGAAAATATCGATCTCTATCCAGAAATATCGATACATCCAATATCGCGACGTGCAAATATCGATAGAAAATATCGAATATCGGAACAAAAAATATCGATACAAGTAAATATCGATACTGGATCGGGAAACACTACCCATAATGAATACAAGCACGTCAACCGCAAACCCCATGAGATTCACATCACGCGGTAAACTTAGTTTCAGAAGCCAATCTTCTGTGATATTCCATAAAAGAGAACCCAATACTGAACACTGAAAACCCCTCCAGTAACGCTGTACGGGGGCACACTCCGTGTCATACTTGAGACCTTCCAGTAGAATAATCATTCACCATTTCCCACAAGTATTCAGATACGTAGAACTTTGCCAGAGGGAGTACTTCTTTTTGCCCTTGAGTCATCTTATCCTCAAAATCGTTTCCCTGGCGGCATTAACGACAAGGTTGATAGCATCAAGAATGGATCAAGCTCCCCTAAAAATATATTGGTAGTCGGTTAACAGCGGTTCGACCGCTGCTTCTGTTCTCCTATGAAAGATGCGATCGAGAAGTTTGCAGCAATAGTTATTTTCTTTGGTTTCAATATTAATTCTATATCATATTCTTATAATTCGATAGGAAGTATGATGAAAATCTTCCCTTCAAAATTCACCAAAAATAGTCATAATTGCAGTATTGTGATCCGCTATATGTCCAAAAATTATTTTTTACTTCTGGATATTTTGATTCCGAGAAAAAAACCGAAAAATGAATTTCGTATTTTTTCATGCTCTTTGAAATTTATCTGGGTTCATAAAATTCTAAAACATCTTTTTTTTTCTTATTAGAAAAACAAATTTTTTACAGGGGTTGTTTAATCTCAATTTTCAACCCTCTGAGGAACTATCACTAGCGATTTTCATAATTTTCCACAACCTACTTATTACCTTAATGAGCATTGCCCTTTAGTTTTGAATTCTCTACAACATACATATTTCATAAAAATGGCAGGGGACCCAGGTAGAAAATGCCAGTGTTGAAAGCACGGGCCAAGTGTGGTACAATCCTGGACTTGCCAAACCTTGAAGCCTAAGCTTGGTCCGAGGTTAGGCCATTTGTAGGGACCAGGGCTTGAGTCTCGGAGAAAAGGCAGTAACCGAGTCTTCATCGACAGATCTGGCCCAGCTTTAGGCCAAACATCGGCATGCCGGAGCTTGACAACCAAGCCCCGGCCAGGGGTTGTTTGCTCTTCATGCGTTTTAGGCTCTCTTTTGTCGTCAGTGATTTATGGAATTCTGGTTGGGCATGGAAACGCTATCTTTTCAGTTACCTTCTATTTTCATGGTTGAAATCTATTCATGTGGCAGTTAACTCATTGACTGACTAAAGTGGCTTAATGTATCCGTGTGAGGAAAGGGGGGGGGGGGTGTAGCGCCTCGCTACATCTACACTCATACATGCACGCGGACCACGAGTACCCGAGACAGGCAGTTGACGAATTGCCTGTTTCACTTCAACCTATTGTGACGCGTTCATCATCGCCGAATATTCGCACCTTCGCGATATTCGACAGTTCGGCTTAGCTAGCCGCTGGCACAACATCTGCCTGGCTTCCGCTAGCCTCAACTCACATTTCATCCTTCACTGTAACTTACGACGCGATTAAATAAATTAATTAAGTGACAATAAAATCACTTGTAGTGGATCGTTCATTTCTTCCCGAACACGATTCCTACATTATTTCCGATACCGGGAATCGAACCCGGGCCGCCCGGGCTGCCGATATAGTCTAGAAATATATTTTTATTGCAGAAAAAAGA